TGACAGAACAGTGTTGCTCGTGATCCTTGGTAGTGTCAGAGTCACTGGTGGGAGCTACACAACTAGGACAAGGGTTGTTGTTTCCAGTCTGGTTATGCTGGCATTCTGGGCTCTGTCTGGGCACAGTCAGCTGCTGAACGACTGCAGATGGGTTGTGCAGAAAAGATCTGTATCGCTGCATCCCATTGAGCTATCAGGAGGCCTTTTGTTTGCAACCCTGGCTGGTCGCCAAGCTTGGAAATTTGCACTCCTGACCCCTTGATTAGTCAGATGTACATTAGCAGCGACAAAGAAAAAAATACATAAAGCCCAGATCATTTTAAGCTTAATCATGTGGAAAGTTTCACATTTGTTTTAAATTCAGGTTTAACCTCTAATGAAATTTGGATCCAGATGGTTGACCTTAAAAAAATAAGGGGATCTAGGAAGAGCATTTGTACCCCCCCCCCCATGACCTTGGATTTGGTCTGTGAGGCTGAAAACTCGAGTTACATAGTTTCATGAGAACTGTGCAGTGCTATAGATCTTGGTGAGGTTTTCTGAACACAGGGTCTGGAAATAAAACTCAGAGTCCTGTAATGCTCACCTTGAAGGAAAAGGGGAAATGAAGCCCAGAATTTTTTTCTCTTGGATTAAAAACTTGAATTAAAATTTGAGCTAGGCATATCTTTACTTTAAAGGGATGTGTATAGGTAAATACACTAGGCCTAAGGGTCACTTCTAGGACACTTCCTTGTGAGGGAAAAAACCCCTCTCTTGGACCTGTGTGTGTTGTGTATTTTCAAGTTGTTTCCAACTTATGGAGACCCTAAGGCAACCTTATCATGGGGTTTTCTTGGCAAAACTTTTTCAGAGGAGGTTTGCCATTATCTTCCCCTGAGGCTGAGAGCATGTGACTTGTCTAAGGTCACTGAGTGGGTTTCATGGCAGAGCTGGGATTAGAAACCCAAGTCTTCAGATTCACAGTCCAACACTCAAACCACTATGCCACACAGGCTGAGCCTCCTCAAAATGGCAAATTTCCACCATATTTCATAGCAGTTGTTAGGATGCATTCTGAAGTCAACTTCTTTTTAAAAGGGGGGGGGGCATTTGAGGATCTGAGTACAATAAAATAGGCCCAAGGACAGTATATATACCACTAATCATTTTCTGATCATATTTCAAGCCAATTTGTGTGCGCTGAAAGGAATACACTAATTTTCACTCTATACAAAATTAGCAGTCTGGCCAGTTCATACAAACAGTCCAAGATAGGGATGCAATTCTTTGCTAATTTCATCCACAATGGAAACAATGAGTAATTTTATCATTTTTCTTCCTACTATGAGAAGTCGCCAGAGACTATTTGCAGTCTGTAATTTATTTTGCACAAAATTCACATAGTTTTTTAAAAACAGAAAATTCTCTCTCTCTCTCTCTCTCTCTCTCTCTCTCTCTCTCTTTGCACAGAAAATACCTGTGCAGGGAATTATTATTTTTGTGTAGAAAATACTGTCAGCTGCACACACCTACACACTTTGTGCAGATTTTGTGCAGAATAAGTTTCAAATTGTGATGATTCCTATTACTCCAGGATTCTCCAGGTAAGGATTTCACAATGCTTGAGAAACACATTTTTGGCCATTTAGAATATTTTAAAAATATTCTTTCCATCCCTTGCCCAAGCTGATGATACTTTTCCTAGACTGTATTATTTCATTTTGCAAAGGTGGAATTGCATGACTAAAACCTTTTGTGTGTATGAAGCAGAATGTCAGATGGGGTGGGCAACTATGATATTTCTAGGGGTCATTTTTTTGTACCTGCAACCCCCAATTTTATTTCCCCAACAAACTCAAACTGGAACTGGCTGGAGATTCCCCTTTGGTTTTGAAAAATGGGTAGTAATTTATGTTAAATGATGCAAATGTGCATGTGTGTGTGTGTCCTGTATTTTTATTTTTTTTGTAAAGAGCTATTGTTTTTAGGAGGGCCAATTCACTCCCCACCCTTTCTGGCCAGATAAAGGACAATGCGGGGATCTGGGAGGATTAAGGATCACAAAAACAATCTTGGATGGGGGTCATACTTTCACCCGTTGTGAAGTAAGGAATGCTAGTCTGTGATTCTTCTTCACATAGTGTTTTCTATGAGTTTTTAGAATTCATTTTTTGTCAGTGATGGAGAGTTTAGCTTGGAACCACTGATGATGTAAGTCTGGACATTCCAGTAATGTTATCTGACATTGGTTTATTGAAAACTGAAGACTTTATCGGTTTATTGATCTAGGCAAAGAACATCCTGCTGCAAAGACCAGAGATATTCCTTTGCTGTGATGGATGTACACAGACCCACAGGTATTAGTGCCATCAACTGGGGAGAAGGTTGCAGGAACAGTCCCTCCAGCAGCATAAAATATTATGAAGCTGAGTATATGCAGAGTGCTTTTGCTTCTCTGTTTTGTAATCACAAAATTGAACAGAGAATAGAAAGAGAAAATCATAGTATAATTCTTTTCAAAATCTGAACACTGGACTGGGCAGGCAGAAAATAGTGGTTCAGTGTCTACCAAGGCTGAGTTGGGTTGCCCCCAAATTTTAAGACTTGCAGATGTTAAATGGCTAGGAAAATACATACAAGAACTAGCTAAACCTTGAAGGTTGGTTTTGTCTTTGGAACAGATTTTTAAAATAGCAGCCAAGCATATGGTACAAAAAACAGAGGTAGTCCAGGACAATCTAGACATTACCCTGAATTAACAAGCCTACAAAAAAATGGCAGTTATATAAACCAGATCCTCTTTTCTGCACAGGTTTCTGTGCAGAAGTATTATTGTTTGTTTGTTTTTAAGTGTTGTGAGCCTCCCTGAGTCCCAGTTTTGGTAAAAGGGTGGGATATAATAATAATAATAATAATAATAATAATAATAATAATAATAATAATGTTTCCTGTACAGAAAAATGCTGTTTTCTGTGCAAAAATACAATCTATGAACTTTTTGTTGAATAAATTCAGAATGGTAACCATATTTGAAAACTGTACTGTTTTCAGACTTTCTTACAATGGAAAGAAAATTGCTAAAATTAGCTGTTGCTTCTTTCTGGAAGTAAATCAGAGAAGAATTACATCCTTACATGAAATAAAGTTATCAGGAAGCAAAGGACACAAAACACAGATATCATGACAAGGCCAAGGTTGTTTGAGATGAGCTTCCACCCCCCTCCCCACAGTCTTTCTGGACTACAAGTGCCACCATCATCTGCCAGAATGGATTGGTGGAAGCTGCGGTCCAAAACATCTAGAAGGTTACAGGTTGGGGGAGGCTGATGTAGACAAAATAGAGTAGAAGGAAAGAAAACTAAGAGCCACCATTTGATGGAACATCTGGTTTGGCTCCTTCATTTCCAGAGGGACACAACACACCACGTTTCACACAACTTCCTAAATGAGCAAAGGAAAACAAAACATGCAAATGACAATCAGCAAGGCAAGTGGGGGTTAGGGAATGGGGGATGCAACTTGCCGACCTGTAGGAGGCTGAATGTCCTGTCAAGTTTGTGATTTGATGCTGTGATGCACTGTGAAATGGAGGCCAGAGGGATTTGACAAACCCTTCTCTCTACTTCTCTCTCTCTCTCTCTCTTTTTTCTTTCTTTTTTTTAAAGAGCTGCTTTGAGGGAAGAGTTTAGCGATGGCAAGAAGTGAAACCAAGTGAGCCTGAAACAAGGGAATAACAACAAAACAGAAAGCCCAGCATGCGTCCATAGCCTGGGGCAAGCTACAGCTGATGGATAAAGTGGCAGACGAAAGCCTCCCTTCATTTCCATTTTAATCTCTGCCAACTAATTGTCATCAATATCAGCAGGGTCAGTAGACCACTGGTGCAGTTCCTCCAACCTTCAGCAGACACAGAAGCTCCCTCCTGCTGAGCCCCCAAGAGAGTTTACCCTTGTGCTCATCTGCCCTCTCATCCAGGATGCTTCGGAGGGAGGGAGAGGGTTGTCTGGCTGGAAGGGCGGAGGCCACTCACCCAAGGGCCTATCTTCCCTTGCCTCTAAATCCCTCCTTTTCTCATATCCCCCTTTCCTTTTACTGCTTCCACCTGTCCCCTGTCTGGAACAGAAATGGCCTTGCTGCTAATTTCTGTCACTGAATAGCAAAGTCAAGTTTACCCAAGATGTTGTAGTTCCAATTTTTATATATGGTTGGGAAAGCTGGATAGTGGAGATAGCTGAGAGAGAGAATCAGTTCATTTGAAATGTGGTGCTGGAGGAGTCACAAATGATTTGTTCTAAGACCACAAATAAAGTGGTCCTAGAGTAAATCAAGCCGGATGTTACATTTGAAAAGGTAATGATCCTTGGTGGGTAAAAAGACTTAGGAAAAGAGGAAAACCACACTACAGGTGGATAGATTCAATCAGGGAAGCCACAGCCCTGAGTTTGCAAGACCTGAGCAGGCAGTTGATAACAGGATGGCTTGGAGGTCTTCCACTGATGGGGTAACCATAAATCAAGGTTGAGTTGGAACACGTCTACATGGGACACTTAATCCTGGACTAGTCCAGTGCATTATGCCCCAGACTGGTCCTGGACTGACCACAATGGCAACCACACTCACTGTGGTCAAATCCAGCGTAATGCCACATCATTGTATACATGGGCCGGACTGATACCACATTGGCCCATCTCCTGTTTTTGGAGCCACTGCTGCCACTTCCTCATGAACAGATGCTGTGTGTAAAAGCAGAGCACCACTGCTTCCACTGAGGAGAAAAATGGGTGATTAACAAGAAGTGCAAGCACCCATTTCTGCCCTCAGCAGAGGTGGCAGTGAATTGGCTAGACTTTACATGGAGTTCCCGCCTATGAGGAAGTGGCAGCAGTGGCTCCAAAAGCAGGCCATGCCCTTTCCCTGCACTGCTTAGCATAGCTCTTGGTGTGTGGACAACTGGATCAGGCTGAATTAGATCTGATCCACCTGTCTACAAATCAAAAGAACATGAAGTCATTCTAGGGTTTCCGGGAAACACGGAGAATTTCCTCATCTTTGTTTAATTTGGAGCAAAGTCAGGTTAAGGACAGAAAAACAGTAGCTGCACATTCTGGGCTGGCCCTGAACATATGGCTAGTGCAGTCAGGATCAAAGTGGAATTACAGTGGGACCTTGGTATCCATGAGGGATTCATTCCAGACCCTCCTGTGGATACCAAAAATCCAGAGACCTTGTTCCATTGTTCCCAATAGTGGTGTGTGCACACGGCTACACCATCACTGGGGAGAATGGGGGCTTGCCATCCATGGATGCTTAAATCTGTGGATGGCAAGTCTGTGGATAGCGAGGCGCCACTGTATAGTACTATAATTGTACAGTGCAAAAGAGCCCTTAGATCCTACAGTGAGGAGAGGGAGATAGAGGTTGATAGAGGTACATGACAGTTCAATCCTTGATTGTTAGGTCATTGAGACATTATTGTAGATAGGAGACTGAGCAAGCAGGGCCACAACATGGTAATATTGCCCCGACACTTTCTAGAGGAAGTTATTTTCGAACAAAATAAATTGGAAATCCTTGAGGGGCCTTGGTGCCCACAAATATTACTCTGCAGAGCTGCACTGATCACTTTTCCTCCCCCTGCTCTAGTGTGAAAGGGTCATGGCTGTCCTGCCTGCTCTCCTTTCATTTTTTCCTTCAGAAAGCAAAGCATGGCTTTTAAAGCATGGGAAAAGTAAAGCTTTCTGAACCTTCCCCCCTGCTGATCTTCACAGAGGCCATCTCCTTCTTGAGACAGTGGAAATCATCAGCCTGGCCAGTTTTTTGGATCTCACTTTTCCCAGCAGTTTGAATAAATCAGAAATATACCGCCACCTCAAAGGTAGCCCTGCTGGGATCCTCGATCCTTGTCAGCTTACATTTGGAAGGATGAAATCAGCTGGTGTCCTTTTTAAGGACATGAAAGGAACTCTCTTGGTTTGCACCAAATGCCAGTCTAGCATCTTGCACTCTACCATGACT